ACAAAGGCGGGGGTTCTCTCCGTCCAATAAGTGGCTTAAAATGGGCTGTGTGGAGGTCAAAGTTAAAATTTTTCATCGAAAAATGCGACGCCCATTGAAACATGCAACGCCAGTCGAAAATGCGACGCCTGGTCGAAAAATGCGACGGTGTCCGAAAAATGCGACGCCCAACGCAAAATGCGACGCCCATTGAAACATGCGACGCCGGTCGAAAATGTGACGCCCGGTCGAAAAATGCGATGGTGGTTGAAAAATGCAACGCCCAATGAAAAATGCAACGCCCGTCGAAAAAGGCGATGCCAGCTGAAAATGCGACATTTTTTAGAAAATCTGATTGCCTTCATACATGTACATACAGTGTAACAAACCTTCTGACAATTAATTAAGGAGAGTCCAACACCATAATTGGCGTAATGACGTCATCACGTGATTTATTTTTAAATTAAAAATTTTATTTTGCCCATATACCGGTACACAGGTCTTTTACATGTTTATCAACAGGAAGACTGTTTTTTGCACTGTTATCAATTGACTGAGTTCCTGTTAGGGACACACAATAAGGCCACAAGCTAGGAAAGGTTCCCGTACAAGTTCTCATTATGATGTCATAAGCTGGTAAGTCACGTGACTTTAAAGGGGCACTTTTTAAAGTGCTACATCTCAAGAAGTACATTTCTGATTTGATTGAAACTTCGTGTATAGCTTGAATGGGAAGGGTTTTAGACCCAGATTGACCTCATGTGATTATGACATCATCAGGTGACAAGTCACGTGACATTAAAGGGGCACGCTTTATAGTGCTATATCTCTTGAAGTACATGTTGGATTGAATTGAAACTTTGTATGTAGCTCGAATGGGAAGGGTTTTAGACCCAAATTGACCTCATGTGATTATGACGTCCTCTTGAAACAAATTAAGTGACATTAAAAAATCACTCTTGAAAGTCATATATCTCGTGAAGTACACGTCCGATTGGGTTGAAACATTGTGTTTAACTCAAAGAGCAAGGGTTTTAGACTAAAATTGACCTGATTAGATACTGACATCCTCGGGTGACAAGTCACATGACATTCAATGTGCATTTTTTAATGAACTTCGCAGATAGCTAGAAAGGGAGGGTTCGTGATTGAAATTGACCTTATCTGATGCTGGTATCATTATATGATAAATCATGTGACATGTATCGAAATGACATTGATAATAAGCTTTCCATTGCTGTATTTCCATTTTTGGCCATTATCTAACAAGTTTATCCTATGATTTTTTTCAAACCCTTTGAAACTGAAGCAGCTCCCTGGTATTCTCACGTTCGTTCGGATAATGCTGCTGTAGTCCCCATCATCAACAAGTGGTCCTTTAAGTGCCCTTGAGTAATGAGATTAAGTTAGATTCTTTGTTTTACAAAACAGTGCAATGTTTACGTGTGAATGTTCAGTTCAAGGCCCGGCATATCCCAGGAGCCCACAATAACATGGCAGATGCGCTCTCTCGTTCACAGATGCTCTGATTTTGACTCCTGGCTCCACTGGCTGCCCCCCCCCCCGGGAGGGAGGTCCTGGAATTTCTTTGGAAGCTCTAAATGAACGTATACAGTAAAATTTCGATAACTCAATGTTGGTTAACTCAAAACTCTGCTCAACTCGAAGAATTAATTCCTGCAGAAAGAATAGGCTTTTATGTACGAAACATATCCGTAACTCGGACTGCTCACGTTGCCGGATTTGTTTACCTCGAAGTTTTTGTGCAGCAGATCCAAAAGAAACCGCTGCCAAAATACTTCCAAAACGTGTAAACAGAGCGCGGGTCTAGTTACGAATCATTTCTGACAATTCGTCTTTTCACACTGGAACATTAGCAAATGTGCTACAATGATGATCAATCTAGACACGTAAACCACACCCTGATTGCAAAATCCGACTTGCAGGAATTGGCTTAATTGTTATCATGGACCCATTGTAGCCAGAGCGTCGGCAGGCCAACTGATGGCTCTTTGCGGTGGCTGCGGCAATGCAATAGTGGAGATCTTTGTGTATGCCGCACCCGCCACTTGCTTTTTTTTTACGCCCGTTGCATGTCTCCCCCTTGAAGGTGAGCGACCAGTCAGGCAGAAGACGATAGAAAATGCCGGTCTCATCAGCACTGAAGATGTCTCTCGGAGCATATACCGCAAGAACTTCAGGAAGGCCGGTTTCTAACCAATCTTTTGTCATGCCAGAGGTGACGGCAGCTCCTTCTCCAGCAATTATGCGAAAGATGATGTTGTGTCGTGTCTTGAACAGAGACAGCCATCCATCACTGCAGGCGAAGTTGATGTGGCGCAACTGTGTAGCGAGAGATTGGGCCTTTGCTTGCAAAATTGGCCCTGAAACCGGGATGTTCTCAGCATGCGCAACCTTGAACCACGTCAGAAGAGCTTCCTCCACCTTAGCATATGCTGCCATTCTCAAGCGCTTTCTTACTGGAGAGACAGGTTGGCTCTCAAACTGCTTCATCACGGTCTCCTTGTTTTTCATGATTGTAGACAGCGTGGATTGTGGAATTCCTCATTCCATGACGGGGGTGGGGGTGTGACTG